AATACTAAACAAAGCATAAACTCCTATGAGCAAAGCGGCGTTTACAAATTAACCTGCTTAGAATGCCAACAAGTGTATATAGGTCAAACAGGCAGAAAGTTGATAACACGCTATAATGAACATATAAGATGTATAAGGTTCAATAAAGATGACTCAGCCTATGCTCAACATATTTTAAATCGACAACATCAATATGGCCCAATTTCGCAAACTATGGAATTGATTGAAGTGGCAAGGAAGGGTAAATTAATGAATATAAAAGAAGAATATCAAATCTACCGCCACTACAGGGACAACAAATTAATAGATGAGCAGAAACAGGCAAAAGAGATCAATACTCAGAACAGCATGTTTGACCTCATTACTACTTGTACACACACACCCCCCACCACGTCACGATACACACAGCTTTAAATAACATCGACGTGCACTCTCCACTGCAGTATACAATACACATCGCGTAAGATACACCCGACCACAAGGTAAGGCCAGGATCAAATATTATTTAACATTAAATATATAATAATAGATACAACCTAATGTAATATAATATCTTTGCAGCCCACACAACCCCGTGTTGACGCCTCCCCCCCATTGGGACGATTCACCAAGAAGGAGCCTGAATATTTTACTTGAACGTTTTTTATTTTTAACTTTAAATTTTAACGTTGACGACTCGGTTTGAGGGTGGTTTTTTAGATGCAAGTGCTATACCTGCATTCAAGATACGGGGAAGTGTTGTGCTTTACACTCCGATATATGTAATAGTTTCCACAAATAACTACATACTGTGGATGTTGAGCTGTGCCACTGTTTTCATGATTTGTTGTAAGTGCCTCTGAAGATGGTTCCTTGGAACCGAAACATGTAAGGCAGACGAGATAAATAAGTGACCAAAATATATATTGTTGCACTTGACGGAAAATCTATTGACAATTGGTGGTTAATAGTGTAACGGACCAAAATGAAACAATTCAAAATAGTCTAAGATTCAGTCATTGCTTAATAATGCAGTATCAGCTGCAGAAGTTATATAGCATCAAATGAGATGAGAATGTTTAGTAAACTGGGAGATTTGGGGAAGGCAGTTGTTATGAACTATCGTGAGAGATGGTATCATATTTGCATGGAAGAACTGAGGAAATCCACGGAAGTCTTAACTGAGAACAGTAGTATCCTAGTCAACAGTGGAACTAGGTGTATGATGAATACAGGTGAGGCGTGTTCCAGCTGAGCTAAGCTGCTTGGTAATAAAGTGTGGGGGGTAAGAATATAGTGAGAGTATTTTCCAGCAGAAAACACCCATTGATCCTTGTTGTCATGTTGCAGGTTATGTTGAACCAGTGGAAGCTGAGGACTACTTGGTTCTGACAGACCGGGAAGAACAGGATCTGGAAAAGCTCATGTCACAGTGTGAATCTGGAATCAGCAATGCTGAATCTTTTATGGAAAATCTAGCAAAGGATCTCTCTATCCTTGATGGGGTTCATATATTTTATTTTCTTTTTAAATATTTAAGCAAAGACCATCCAGATGATTTAGTTGTTAGTATTTGAAGGATTCTGGATTTGATTCTGACTTTTGCCACTAAGACTCAAAACAAAACATCTGTTGGTATAATGATAGCCAGTTGCCTGACTTGGGTATGCAAATAATGAATTGGGAAAGGACATTGAAGGAAGGAGTCAAGGTGTACTATTCCGATATTTGCATGGAAGGGCTGAGGAAAACCATGAAGAGCCTCAGTCAGGATAGCCAATCTCTGAACCATGGTTTGAGCCCTGAACCTTCTGGATATGAAGCGGTGTACTATCCGCTCAACCACATTTGTTAGTGTCATGTCTAGTGATAGCCTGTAGTGTTAGTGGTTCAGAATTTTAAGGTGTTCCGCTTCCACAGTATTTGTTAGAGAAATTGAATGTGAAGGTATGTACTAGAAGGAATTGGCTCAGTATAGTGCCTAGTTGTTGTCTCATATTGGGTTCTGTTAAAGTAGGATATTTCTTGATCAGTTGAATAACTGTCTACTGCTGAGAAATAACCCTGCACCATGGTGTTAGTTCAGTCACAACTGAAACTCCATGAATGTAATATTTGCAGGAGAACGTGCACAGTGTGTTAGCTTCAGAACAGCAAGTGGCGCAACTGATGGTGCAAATTGAAGCAGCTATTGCAGAAGCTGAGCAAGTAGAAGCTCGTCTGGACTCTTACGATGAAATTCTCTGCCATATAAGAGACACAATGGAAAAGATGGAAGAAAAGAATCTCCTTATTGAAGTTGCAAATCAAAATAACCAGAAGCTTCTCTCTGAAGTAGAACATGTCATTGTAAGTTATTAAATTTCAATTGGAAGTTGGTATAGAGGAATTTATGGAATTTTGGTTAACACATTATGGCTACAAGGAGTAAATTTATCATGGTTATGTTGCATCATTATACAAAAGGAAAACAAGATTTCCAGATCTTAAGTGAATGTATTTCTGCTACGTGAATTACAAAGTCTGATTCTTGCAACTGTCCATCTACACTTTATTATGAGTTTTTTACACATACACAAAACTTCACTTTCAGACATTTTGTCTCTGTCAGCCTAATCATCAGCATATGTATGCCTCTTGTTTGAAATGTCATGCAAGTATTCTACACCTGTATTAACATCTTTTATGGTGTAAATGCAGTTGTTTTATGCATTATTCAAGTTCGTTCTTCTTGTAACTATAGAGAAAAGTACTGTGCATAACTTCTCTTGTATGTTTCAGTCTCAGTTGGATTTACCTCATAAGCATCAAATGGCTCTCATCGATTCTGATCTTACAAGTCCTCATGGTCTACAGAATGCAGTAGCAGCAGGCAAGGCTTTGTTGGCAGCAATGAATGCTGAGATCCACCCAGCTCTGGTACGACTAGCTGCAGTACAGGAGCAGAGAAAGAGGTTTGACAAGTGGAAAACGAAGTTCTCACAGACGATATCTAGACACCTCAATAACCTTTTTATACATCTGGTAAGCTGTTGATACTGCTTGTCTGCACAGTGAATCTGAATATTTTCATTTTGACCAAATATTTTAGGGCATACAAGAGTTTTCAGTAATGTTCTTCACTCATGGACATTTTAGCTTATTATGCATTTGGTACTGAATAATTTGTAATAGGTGTAAGCATTCATTTTTTTTATTATCTGTAAGTTAGTGTACATTTAGTTTTGAGTGTAGATTTTCAATAGAAGTACCTGTTATCTATCCATATGCATAATAAAACTATGGTCTAGTGGAAGTTTAATAATGGTAGGTGTTATTGACTCAGTTTATATCTGTTGGATGTGAAATCTGAAGATTGAAATCCCTCACTCCATTAAGGGAATGAATTTTTATGTGAACTTTTTAAAGATTTGGAAGAAATGTTCTGAAACTTAAGGACATTGAAATTCAAAACTATATTTTACACTGAATTGTCCACTTCACTTGAAAATTAAAATTATTTCTTTTAAGATTACCATGGTGTGCACATAGTGGTTTATACAAGAAGTTCTTAAAGAAGCTTATAATTCCAGCTTTCCTGTATGGTGAGGTTAGAAAGAACTAGAAATTAATGATTATATGATTTGGTGACAAATTTCTGTGCATAGCACAGATTTTTATTACATTAAATTTGTTAGTTATGACCTTATCTTTGCCATCTTGTTTTAAGTGTTAACATATTACTGACGGTAATCCATAGGTTTCTGTTGCCAAATATTTCTCATTAACTACATAGCTGCTGAAACAATGGCATCTCCTCTTCTCACTAATCGTGTGATCACTCACCACTGGTTAGCATTCTGCTTGTCTGTTCATCCACTCATGGACTCACCTCTGACACACTACCAAATGTCACTCCAAAGTCATTAACCCTGANATTACAGCTGCAGCTTAAAGTATGACTTAGTTTTTTGGGGGGGAGGGGATACGACGTGTAGAATCCTGAAGATATTTCAACATTTTGGTAAACCGCATAATTGCCTTTTCAGGGTTAATGACCTTGAAGTGATGTTTGGGAGCTGTTATATAGATCTCATGGAGTTAGCAGTGCATCAGAAGTGATGCCTTGAATGGACGAACAGAGTAGCAGGATGTTAACAACTAGGGAGTGACTATGTGGTGAGTGAGAAGAGATGATGAAAAATGTTCTGGGGTTTGGCCGTGAGAAGAAATTATGAAAATGTTCCAGTGACACCATGTTCAGGGTGAGAGGTGATGGAAGACTTTTCCCATTTTTCTTCCTCCATCATCTCTCATCCTAAACATGGGGCCACTGAAATATTTTCATCCCCTCTTCTCAGGACCACTCTGTTGCCAAATATTTCTCATTAACTACATAGCTGCTGAAACAATGGCATCTCCTCTTCTCACTAATCGTGTGATCACTCACCACTGGTTAGCATTCTGCTTGTCTGTTCATCCACTCATGGACTCACCTCTGACACACTACCAAATGTCACTCCAAAGTCATTAACCCTGAAGCTGGCAACTGTAAGTTTTGCTGAAATGTTGAAAATTTAAATCAACATTCTATGGACATACACCTCACACACATTAAAAATTGTTTCATGTGGGAATTCAAGATGTGCTTACTGATCTATTGCTTTCATATCTTATGCATAGCTTCAGTGGTTCATTAGTTATTGTCACGAAACTGAAGGCTAAATATAGATTTTTCAAGCTTGTCATTTTGATTTTTTAGATGAAAACAAACAAAACAAAGATTGCATATTTCTTGAACACCTCTAACGACATAAAATTTCAGAACCTGACACTTAAGTGATGCTAGTGTCTTTGACACTTCAGAAGTTTGCGAGGCTTTTATGGTGGTATTATTGATGACAAGAAAGGTAAAATTGTTTCTGTGATTTACTACCAGGCCCTGAAGATGTATGAGAGAATGGAGGTATGGCTCCATGCATTCATAACCTAGGCACTAGATTGAGGTAAGTAGATATCGTATTTGGCTGCTTTACACCTGGCAAAAGGGTTACTGACATCTGTTGGATGGGAAGTTCTGTAGGCATCAGTGGATCTGGAAGTGTTGACAAAGGGAAAAATTCCTGCCCTTGACAGTATCGTGAGATTGGAAAAAGTAGGAGTAGCTGGCTGAGAGTGTTTCTGACATTTACCTCTCACACTACCATTGTGCTTCTGCAGAGAGTCTGCAAATAAATTATTACTGCTTAAGATGTGTAATTATTTTTGCAGGGTAATGATGCTGGTGAGACTCTCAGTTTCCATGCCAGTGATTTGACTTTACCAAAGCATAACTCGATCCACAGAGAGCTGGAAGTATACACAGAATTAATGCACTGGTGCAAAGCTATGGATCGAAAAGCTTACACAGCTCTCACTAAGGTGTATACCAACTCTCTCAGTAAACTCTATGAACGAGATATTAAACAGTTCTTCGAGGAAGCAAAACAACAGATTTCAGGAATGAGGGAAAAGAAAGGTCAGTGCATTCAATGCAGGATTACGAAGGGGGACCCAAAAATAACCGGAAACGACCTGTTGCACGCGCATGCTTTGTAGTTACGAGTTGTGCTGCTAGGTGGTGTTAGCTGGGGGTCTCCCGCGACTGTAAGTGAGCTGGCATCAGTCTGAGTTAAGTGGTTTGTCTGTGGTGCTCTGTTGTGTGCGTTCCTGTTTCAACCCTTTGGCGATTAGTGAGATGGCCGACCAGAAGGAACAAAGAGTGTGCGTGAAATTTTGCTTTCTGTTAGGGAAAACTGCACTTCACTCTTCAAGTCGCGGCAAACATTCACACGGTTTTCTCTTTGGTCATCTCTGAGCAAGCGAGGAACAAATTTTGCAGACACCCGTCTCATGTGCAAACCTTCGGTTAAAATTCGCTGGACCGTGCTCCATGAGATGTTCGTTTCCTCAGAAAGTTGGTCAATGGTCTTTCAACGATCTTCATCAATTTCACGCACACTCTTTGTTCCTTCTGGTCGGCCATCTCACTAATCGCCAAAGGGTTGAAACAGGAACGCACACAACAGAGCACCACAGACAAACCACTTAACTCAGACTGACGCCAGCTCACTAACAGTCACGGGAGACACCCAGCTAACACCACCTAGCAGCACAACTCGTAACTACAAAGCATGCGTGCGCAACAGGTCATTTCCGGTTATTTTTGGGTCCCCCCTCGTATAATACAGACTGCTCTCGTATGTGCAGAATAGTTGTGAGTTTACTGAACAAGCAGTCAACAAGAATGAATATTCAGCTTGGGGTTGGACATAGGGTTTTGAAGCTTTTGCTGCATAATTCATATGGTGCAGAACAGAACAAGTTAGTAATTCTGTTACTTTAGTACATGTTGTTTCTTTATATAATGCTGACATTGCTGTGCAACATATATACATTGTTTCCCTTGATAATGAATGTTTTCCTTTTTTCCAAATTGCACTGTGATAATGGTAATTGGGAATGAATATGAACACTTTTTTTTTTCATTCACCTTATAGTCATTAGGAAAGGGACAGAGATGGACAACAATGTGTATTCAAAAGGCTGCAACAATAGCAGTTAATGAAAAGTTGCAGTAATGAAGATAAGCACAAGAATGGTGTTTGAATAATTTAAGCATGTTGTTTCAAGAATTCTCTGACCACTTGTCTCATTACAAAGCCAGGCAGGGAGTCAGAAAGCAAGGGGGTGGCAGAAGAGAAACTGCAGCATAAAGAATACAGTAAATAATATCGGTGATTCCAATGGCTATAGTGATTTTGAAAATCAGTCAGAGGTTATTTGAAGGGTGAAACCATATCCACCAATCAGTTCATTGGAAAGGGAACCCAATTAGAGGTCAGACTGCAGCATGATAATGATAATCATCATGTGACAGTAAAATAAGTAAAGGTATCAACAGGCCATGGAGGCCCATTGGGTTGTGAGATGTTGAGGTTCCCACATTTTCTAGACAATCAGCTCATAGATGGCAGCAAGGTTGTCAGCCCTATGCGCCAGCCGCCCTTTACCCCCAAGAATATTTCTGGTACTCATTTCTGTTAGAGGCTGAGTCGACCCCAGGGTCTTAGTGCAGATGGAAGGATTAGGTCAATTGAAAAAAATTCAGTGACCATATCGGGACTTGAACCTGCAACCTTTTGGCTTGCAGCATAGTGCCTCAAGGCAATTACATGGTGCAGAAATAATCTTTTATTTCTTCTTAAAATCGGTGGGATAGTTACAGAAATAAATATGGCAGTCTCTTAATGCAATACACTGATTGAATTTTGTCATAAATTTTGAATTTGAAGAAACACTAGTTATATAAAAATTTGATTATGTAGTAGTTAATTTTCATACTTCTTTTGCATTAGGTAAAGGAAGTGGTTCTAATCAAGATATCACTGGGAAGTTGAAACAGCAGGCCCAAAATTTTGGAGGACCAGCCAAATCCCCTCAGCCCTCAGGTTTGCTTGGCCTGGAACGTGATCAGTGGTGTGTTGATGTGGATGCGGCTGAGAGGCAGCGCTTTGATGAGGTTCTGGAAAGAGCACTGGCTGAACTGGAACCTGTATGCCTTGCAGAGCAGAACTTCTGTGTCAGCTTCTTTCAGCTAGATGTCCTTAGTCCAACAACAAAAGTAAGTCCTTTTTCATGATGCACTTCAGTCATGAACTTCCATCTAGATAAGTTTGTGTCCTGTAAGTATGTAACAGACTTAATCCTATAGAAAGAGTAAAGGCCCTTAAGCATCTGTCCATGGAAGAGGAAGTAAATCCATGCACATCCTCAATCTCAGCATTGTATAAAGGCAAATGGTTACCTTGCATCCTTCAGGCATTCTGTATCCAAGGAAAAAGTCACTAGTACCCATTGGATGGGAGGCTCTGTCAGTCTCAGGGCAATTTTGGAAGTGGTTATTCTTTATTGACCATGCATTATACTGTCATAATGGTACATGCACATGCATGTGGTCCACCTGGCTGAGCATTGTCTTCCACCCCCTTTCTGAATGAACCATTATACCCAAATTAAAATCAGCCATCACGCCCATTTATCGTGGGATTTGGAAACCCTGTGTTCCTAGGTGGTAAATGTTAAACCAAATCACATTCTTCTTATTCTTCTCCACATTTTATTACTGGAGCACACAGTAGTGTATATGTTTGAGGCACTGTGCTACTAGCCAGAAGGTTGTGGGCTCAAGTCCCAATGAGGTGGATTTTTTTTTTTTCAGTTTACCTAATCTTCCAGCCACACTATGGCCCTGGGGTCGACTGAGCCTCTAACAGAAATGAGTACCAGGAATCTTCCTGGGGTGTAAAGGGTGGCCTGCATGTAAGGCTGACAACCTTACCACCATATGTGAGCCGATTGTCTAGAGAAAATGTGGGAGCCTCGATGTCTCACAACCCTATGGGCCTTCACAGCATGTTATAGGAATAGCTTTTTTCCTTGCACTTTATTATCAGGGCTCTATAATATTTCTGTGCAATGCTGGGAAAAGGGTGATGTATGTAGGTAAGTCAGTAAGTAAGTTACAAACGGATATAGAACTTAAACAAATAAGAGTACTGATTTGAAAAATGCTTTTATTTCTCAACATAATCTCCCTGTACATTGAGGCACTTGTCCCATCATTTCACAAGCCCCTGAAAACCAGCAGCATAAAATTCTTTGGGCTGCTGTCAGAACCAGGCAGTGACTTCCCTTCCTACAGCTTCATCGTCGGGAAAATGTTCAGCTGAAAGATGATGTTCAAGAGGGCTGAACAAATGGAAGTTGCTTGGAGCAAGGTTGGTGCTATACGGAGAATGCTCGAGGACATCCCACTTGAAATTTTGCAGCGTCTTGTTTGACTTGTTGGCAGTATGGGGACGCGAATTGTCATGCAAGAGCAACACGTCTGGTTCTGACAGGAGCCCAAAGAATTTTATGCTGCTGGTATTCAGGGCTTGTGAAATGATGGGAACAGTGCCTCAATGTACAGGGAGATTATGTTGAGAAATGAAAGCATTTTTCAAATCAGTACTCTTATTTGTTTAAGTTCTATATCCNAATAACCAGTATTAAGTTTACTCTTCCTATTAAAATTCACAAAATACTCTTCCAATACATAAAATGAGTAACAAGACTAGAATTCTTCAGATTCAATTTAAAACTGTTAACACCTTTGTAAAAATATATGAATATGACCATATCAGATTAATACTACATCTTAAAGATACTCAGAATTCTCTTCCAAAGTATAATAAATAAAATATAAATAATAAACTTAAATAAATAAACAGTACAAAAGTACTAAGTCAATGTACACATATAGATAAATAATACAACTAAAACTCATGAGTATGATCAGTGTCAAAATTACCCTTCAATTAAAATACACAAAATACTCTTCCAAGGTATAAAATGAGTGATTATACAAAAATTCCTTTATCTTTAATTTAAATTGTTTGACATCTCTGTATAATTGTTTCAGGTTTAATGGAAGACTATTGAATAATTTAATGCCCATATAATACGAGCCTCTCTGGTATAATGATAAATGAGTTGAAGGTTGATAAAGATTAAGGTTAAAACCTTGTCTAGTGTCTCTGTTATGTACATCAGATACAAATTGATATTGATCCATGTTAAGTACCACAAAGCATAAAAGTGAATAAATGTATAAGGATGATAGAGGAAGAATTTTTAAAGTGGTAAATATCTGTCTACACGAGCTTCTATTACTAGCACCAGTTATTATTCTAACCACCCTCTTTTGTAAATGAAAAGAGTATGACAGTAGTAACACTGATGATGAGGAAATTTATTTTCAGTATAGTGAGACTAAATATTGGTAAAAATTACCCTATATGTAGTAACCATTTTACAGTCCTGATGCAACTATTGGGGCCTCACATGCCAAGGTGCAACTGTTTATTTGAAAATACCAAGAAGTATTCACTCTCTGTGCATGCAACATAGAGAAAAATGAAAATTTCCATCATCATCATCTATGTTTTGGCTACATTGTATACTCTGATGTTCTAAATCTGGCAATAGATAGGCCCCCCAGGTTATTATAACAGCAGTGTGTGCCTTCTGCTCCATCAAATAGATTGCACTGTTTATTACGGTGATGTTTGATGTTTCAGAAGCTACTAATATGCACAAGGTAATGCTTTTGCCTTCTCCTCTTGCTGTATCAATTCGGAAGTGAATCAAAGCAGTAAGCTTCATTATGCTATGTTTGACTGTAAGATGACCTTGGCCGTAAGAGGCCCTCCCCTTTTCCAGTAAAATATAAGGAAAATAATTGTTCTGCTGTCTGTTAATATTCACAGGTAGAACTTACACATAGGCCCTGTTTGCTGTCTTTTTTCTAACATTGCGCATTGGTCTGAAAAGTACTATATTTTCTGGATAGCACACATTTACCTATTAGTCTTTTTGGCAAATCCATAATCATTATTTTAAAACTGGTATCATTAGTAGTTTACAGGAATGTAGCAATCTGTATCAAGCTGGTGGTGGTCATGCTGGTACAGTACTAGTATTACTTTTTTTTATTGCTAGTAGGGTGGGACTAAGTCCCTTGTACTGCGGCCATGTCTGGCCTATTGTACCAGCCCCAGATGATAGGTAAGGGTGATTGTGGAGCAACTGGTGGAATGAAGATTGGCAGGGGAAACCGAAATACTCAGAGAAAACGTGCCCCAGTGCCACTTTGTCTACCACAAATCCCACTTGACCAGACCCGGGATCAAACCCGGGCCACTGCAATGGGAAGCCAGCAACTATCTGCTTGAGCTATGGCGCGTGCAGTACTAGTAACTGACTTTAAGTAGTACATTTATTTATGATCACTGAATGCAATTAAAAACTGTTTAATTATAATAGCTCCTAACTAGAAAATGTGTGTTTTAATGTATCTTCTTAAATAAATACTATATGCTCCTCTTTGTTTTATTATAAGGAACATGATAAAATGTAAAATAGAAATATCTGTTGGTTCAGAACACACAGACGACTTTAGATGGTCTGGGAACAGATTCCAAAAGTGAAACAGATGCTATATCTACAGCTTCCCTGCCTTTAAAGAAGATGGAAAAGCAAATCAATGAAGAAGTTCGTCGAATGATGGGAGACTTGTTTGGCTGTCTTGAACCTGAGCTAGTCAGTTTTATTGCATATTACGAGAAGATGGACAGTTTGTGAGTAATTTCAGTTGCTTGTATTTATAACACCTGCATATGGGAAACTGATCAAACTGATTCAGCTTCCTTCAGTTTTTATCTTATTATAATGCCTTAAAACTGTTAATGTGGAAGGAGACTAATATTTTATGTACACAGACATGCACTCCTCTTCCCACAGACCCCTCTAACTCCTGCAACCATAAATACATGTTGCCATGTTAATGTAACAAATGTTTTAAGTCTTGCAAAATATATTCCATTCTGCAAAACACTAGGGTCATTATGATGCTGATGGTAAAATAGTTTTCATAATTCTGTATTTCAGCATCCTGTTGCACATCTTTAATTAAACGTCTCTGTATCATTCCATCAGTAATGCAACAATCATTAAAATATTCACCATTTAACACTAAAATAACATGTTTCAGCCACAGATGGCCATCCTCAGGTGTTTCAGTGCATCCTAACTGCTACACTGCTATGATGCGCGCTAAAATTGTGCATTGCAGTCCACTTAAAATTACTTTTTCCTATTAAAATCTTTCATAAAATCCTATTCCACCTCATAAGGGCATCATCCACTTGTTTAAAGCTCTGTGATATTCCAGACAGTTTGTCTCAGCAGCTTGTTTTTCTGTTTCATTAGCCCACTGTGTTGCTACATCTGCAATCTGCACTGTGCCCCTTGCTTGTGTCTTGTTCCCTCTAGCAGCGTGTGGTGTTGTCTTCACTAGGGAACACTTTCATTGGCCATAATTTGGAATTGGGTGCAGGGACCCAAAGGCCATCAGAATAACAGTTTAAATTTTTCTTTTTTTCTATATGGCAAGCTAATAATTTGCCTCTGGCTTGTGGGATGCCACTGCAGGCAGGAAGTGCAGAGGGGAAGACAGACCTGTACAGTGAGACAGTGGGCTTTGCTGCTGCTCATACCACTCATTGCAGAGTAATGTGCCCTTCAGCCACAAGTAGTCATGAATTGCTTGATTTGTACTCTGTCACATGTAGGGGATTTTTTTAATTGCTAGTGGGGTGGGACTAAGTCCCTTGCACTGCAGCCACTTCTGGCCTGTTGTACCAGCCCCAGATGATAGGTGAGGGTGATTGTGGAGCAATTGGTGGAATGAAGATTGGCAGGGGAAACCAATGTACCCGGAGAAAACCTGCCCCAGCGCCACTTTGTCCACCACAAATCCCACTTGACCAGACCCAGGATCAAACCTGGGCTGCCGTGCTGGGAAGCCAGTGACTAACTGCTTGAGTATGGCATGGCCACACATGTAGGGGATAGTCACAAACACAAGATAAAATAAAAAAATTGATAAAGGCAGTTGTACAGTTTATTGTGAGCTTAATGCAGAAAATTAAAAATTAAACGTACTGGATTACATTACAGTTTTTCAAGCCAGAAGTAAAACGGAATAGCATACTGCAAGTCTGTGCAGGAGACTGCATCTGTGAGCTGAAACTGGCTACTGTTATTTATTTATGGTTTATGTAATAATGCTGTTGGTATCTCAGACTGTATAACAGCAAGTTGAAAGATGATAGTGTATAATGAATGGGAAAGCCATGGAGAGAATAATTGTGGCATGATTTGAGAGACTGAGGAAACCATGAGAAAACACAGGACAGTCAATGTCCCGGCCAAGACTGGAACAGGGCATCTCTCAAATACAAGTTCAGTGTTACCACTGGAGCCATTTGCTTGGTCACATATGTATGCATTCTGTCAGCCAGAACATTGAAACAACTACAAAAAAATGTGCTAGGCTAATTATATGTATGTATTATGCATGTGATGGGGCATGCGGTAGCATAGTTGGTTGAGGCATCATGCTATAAAGCAGAAGGTCGCGGGTTCAATTCCTGATGAGGTCATTGATTTTTTTTTCCAATTTATGTAATCCTTCCAGCCACAATATGTCCCTGAAGTTAACTCAGCCTCTGACAGAAATGAGTACCAGGAAGATTCATGGGGGTAAAAGGCGGTAAGCGTGTAACGCTTACCACCGTCTGGGAGCCGATTGTCTAGAAGATGTAGGTGCCTAGACCTTTCACACCCTTGTGGGCCGTCATGGCCTGTTACAGGGACAGCAGAATGCATGTGATACTGAGAGAAGAATAGAACTGGCTTTGAGATTGAGCCTTATGGCCTTTTTGTAAGGTCAGCTGTCTTTTCATTGTCTTTAAACTCTCAAATTACGATGTTCATTAGTGCATACTGTGTTAGATATATGTCACTTGTTGGTAGGTATTTTGTAAGAAGGGTTATTTTAAACATGAATGTTAATTTTTTCAGCATTGTTTACTATTCACAACCTTCAGCCTCACTACTGTAATCGTTTTCTTTCAGAGAACTGCATTTAAAATTCATTACTTCTATATACTGAAAAAGAAATCTATTTTCATTCCTTTAGAAACAACTCGTGACATCTCAGTTTCACATGTAATTCTGTATTATTCAGAAGGACTTTTTATATTTATTATAAACTTTACATGCAGGTGAAGCTTATCATACTGTGAGGGCAGAAATATTATTCAGAGTTGAAAATTACAGTAGATATGTTCTTTATGTTATTGTTATGCAGTTAATGCATTATAATCTGTGTGTAAAATAACTTGCTGTAAAGATTTGTGTTCCAGTTACTGCATGTATGTGTTGGTGCGATTAAGCCAACATGTAATGTCAGCCCAGGATACAGGTTCATTCCTTAGCATGAGCTTTGCATCAGCCTTGGTACAGGTGAAAAGAAATTTTGACCGTTTCATGCAAGCACAACTAAAGTCTATTGAGGACACTAAAGTTAATCGCAAGAGCAAATGTGGCCTTCTCCCATATGTGGCTAATTTTGAGGTGAGAGCAATTTGTATGTTCCTGGGGTTTATAACAGATTAAATTCGAGTAACACTTGCCATCATTCAATTCACAGTTTTTCATCTTGCCAGCAAAAAATAATAATAATAATAATAAAAGAACTTGATATTAAAATATATAAAGTCTTAATTTTGCTTGGTTTTTGTTTGGGCATGAATCTTGGTATCACCTTGAGAAATGAACACAAATTAAAGGTTTTATGAACAAAGGATTGAGAAAAATGGTTGGACCTAAGAAAGGGATTATGGGAGGCTGGAGGAAAGGTAAAATTGTCCCTGCACTTAATTAATTACACACCACACCATGAACATGTGTGGTATAGTGGAAGTATAGGTTCATCATTCTTGACTTTGGCACTAGATGCAGGTGAGTGGTCAGCTTCACGCCCCAGCCCGTTCATGTCCAGGGAAAGAGCCATTGGTACCAATTAGATAGAAGGTTGAGTGGGCCCCATAGCTAGTCTGGATGCTGCAGAGAAGAGAAAAATCTCTTATCCCTACCAGGAAATGAACTCTGGCCATCCAGCCTGCAGCCTGTCATAATTTGTACTCTTCATCAGATATTATTAGAGTGATGAAACAAATCAGGATAAATTGAGTGGGACTAGGGGAGATGATTAGTGCATACACAATTTTAGCCAGAAAACCCAGAGGAAAGAGACTGCTTGGGAGACCAGGTGTACATAGGGGGATAGTGTTACAATGAATATTAAAGGAATGGGATGTGAGGGTGTGGACTGAATTTATCTGACACAAGACATGGTGAGTGGCACAATTTTGTGAACATGGCAATAGATCTTCAGGATCCACAAACAGGTATTTTGTGACCAGCTGAATGATTCAGCTTCTCAAGGACTCTTTTGTATGGAGTTTGTCTTGTGCTCTCTTCAGAAGACCTCTCTTGTAGTAAGAAATCTACCTATTGAAGTATGTGAGATGTTTTAATATTTTTATTATAGTTTCCCATCAGTATTGTTAAAAGTGATCATTTTTCTCTGATTTGATAGTTGACCCTTGGTTTAATGCATATCTGGAATTTTATAATTATAGGATTTTGCAAAGACAGCTGAAGCTATATTCAAAAACACTGACCGCCGTACTGATTTAGATAAGTGGTATACGAAACTGGTTGGAGCAATATTTGAAGCAATTCTACGTAATGCAGCTGAACATCATAGAACTCCACAAGAAGTGATAAAAATGGGTGAGTTCATTTTTTAAGTTACAGGGAGGTGAATTATTGTAGTATCAAGGTATGCTATAACTGTCAATTGTAATGAGTTCTAAAGGATGCAGAGCTTCATGATTAATGCTTTGTTCATATATATTTAAATCTAGGAAGCTCCAGTGGTCAGGAAATGAATGCACACAAAATTTTGGTGGGGAAATCTCGGGTAATACCCATGAGGAAGACAAAGGAGATGGGATGATATCATTAAGATGAATTTTAGAGAAACACTGTGAGGATGGGAGGTGAATGGAAGTATTTCATAATTGTGTTCAGTGTCAGGCTTTGGAATTAGCAGTGTTAAACTTTCATGTTCTTCTATCATAGCAATGGTTACTTAGAATATTTTCTTAGTGTAAAATGTTGTGTCTTTTTGCCTAAATTGCACATGAAGTGTCATTTAGATTGACTGATTTGTAGGGTATTTAATCATGCTACTCCAATTGCAGAGGATGTATAGCATCAGCTGAGATAAGATTATGATAACGAAGGATTTGGAAAAAGGCGGTCTTCACCTTCTTTGAAGTCCAAGCCTGATATTCACTTAGACAGATTGAGGAAAGTCTTGAAATTTGTCAGAATAGCCAGTAACGAAGCTGATATTCAAATTGTGTACCTCCTGAATACAATTCTAGAGTTCTGCCATTTTACTGAAAAGGAGGAAGGGGATTCCCAACATTCTGGAGGCCTGTAGTGTACTTAAAAGGTTTCCATCATGTCAGTGTTCGCTGTGTACAAGTATTAGGGGAATGGTAACCATGCAGTGGACTTTGTATTCCCAGAGACTATCACTGCTGCCTTCTATTTTCATTCCAGAGAATTTCCATCACCTTTATGCTCTTCTGTCAGAACTGAAAGTGGGTGTTCTGGATGGGCTACGAAAAGATGCCAAGCAGAAGTACAGTGATGCATTGAAGATTTATGTGACTCAGTACTTTGGAAGACCACTTGAGAAACTAAATGTAAGTTACCTGAAATTGGTGTATTTTCAAGAAAGAACTCTCAGTATTAAATTTCAGTAAATTCTAGTAAAAATATAATGAGAATCCTCCTGCTCCTAAGACTAAATTTAGGTGGATCTTTGGAAGATTGGCCATGAGGTTTGGAAGTGGATGGGGTTTGCTCATATTCATTGGCAGCTTTGTTATAGCAGTGATTAACTTTAGAGTTCTCTTACCATAAAGTTAACTCATTATATAATAGTTGAAGTGTCCATGTGCTTGAAAGTTTTGACTTGTCAGTGAAGTTCAGAAAGAATAGTCATTATTAAAATTTCATCTGTTATGTTTGGAGTAGGATTTTTGTTTGTACAAACAGAAAGCAGCAGTAGGCATGTTTGCGCAAAAAGCCGTTGAGGAAGAGCGTTTTGTTCTCAATGAATAATATAGTTATATTTAGAATAAAATATAATTTTCAGTCGTGGCAGTTTTGAGAAAATTCTGTTGTCATTATATTACAGCTATTCTTTGAAGGAGTTCAAGCCAAAGTAGCACAGGGTGTTAAAGAATCTGAAATCAGTTATCAGATGGCTTACAGCAAACAGGAGTTACGGAAAGTGATCAGAGAATACCCTGCCCGAGAGGTTAAAAGGGGTCTAGACAATTTATACCGCAAAGTTGAAAAACATCTGTGTGAAGAGGAAAATTTGCTTCAGGTTTGTGTTTATGCAAGATTGATTTCTGCTCTAAACATAGTGCTGCTTTATTCCCAATTCTGTTCATTTTAACATTTAGAATATTTCATGTAAATCTGTATGTGCTTTTTAACAACAGTGCCAGTACCTAAGACTATATACCACCAAATAATAGGATGACAGGGGAATAGTGAATTGGAAAGGATTTTCAAGAAAGCAATCATCAAGATGCTTCCCAGCATTTGCTTGGGGGGACTGAGGAAAATTACAAAAAAACCTCAACCATGAAAGTTGATGTCCTGGCTGAGATTCGAACTGAATACCTACAAATCTAGAGCTGCCATTACACTAGCATACTCAGTTAAAAGAACAGTGTTACAGAACCTAGATCTTCTTGTCTAATTTCTTGAACGTGACACACTAATAGGAGTGGAGAGCTCTACTCCAATGTGGAGTATCTAATTGTCACGTGTTGGCTGTGTGACAAGCGAAAAATAACTTAATGCCATCTTGGACATAGCGAATTTATTGCACATTCACTCTTACAGTTACACAATTTACAATCACACAAGTACTGCCATCTGCAGTATCACAATTACATTCACTGCTCTTGGCGACTGCTAGACTGCAACTGACTGGTTACTCTCTCTCTCTAATAACTGGCTCAATTCTCACTACTACTGAATAGTATTCACTGCTCCTTATTTAGGCTCGGCAACAGATATCAGGTATTGTTAGGTGTTTCTACCTACGCATTGCCTAGTAATAGTCGCTGCATGGAGTCACATAAGTCCATAAGTAAGCATTGTCAAATTTTAATATTTACCCTTTAGTAAAACATTTAAAATAGAAGCTTTTCAATGTTGTGTTGTGCAGTTTGGTAGGTAGCATTTCAAAGAAAAGTTTAGCCACCCTTGATCTCAAGCATGGAGGCAGCAGTTCCTCTGAAACCTTGGTACCAATGCATGAAACTACACACATTCCTGAGATATCTCTTAGTTTGTGTTATGTACAAACTTCTCTATAATAAGCCACTTGTGGGAAATTTGATTTGACCTTTATGTAAAATTCTGGACAAGTCCATACCAAAATGCTGCTTAACTTACCATGAAACTTTATGAAAATTTATTAAGTATTTTTGAAAATATAATGTATGAACAAGCACAACTTCCCTTTGCACCCTGATATTGTGCACTCTGTGCAAGGAATGCATAAATAAATTGAAATCAGTATAATCTAATACTGTATATGAACACATCCTGTAGATTTTATGACATGCTATGAATAAAAAATGCAATATATATGTTCAGTGTTTCCAGGAATTCAAATAACCAAAAACATGATTACAAAATGAGGTACACAGTGATGGATACAGAACCAAAGAGAATACAGCAACAGCTGGTTACAGTGAACTTCTTTCAATATAATAAAGAACATTTTTTACTGTTGCAAGATGCGGCATAGGTCTTTATGGACCATATTGCCACATGAGTTTTTTTGTGCAGACATTTCTCAGTATATAGACCTGAGAGAGATAAAGTGATGGGAATGTATATAGCAAAGTAGTGCTCCTGAAATTGCTTAATGAACAAGTAAATGAGTTCCTTTCCTTTGACTGGCATGAAATATTCCTACAGTGGTAGGAAGATTGCTTTTGAAGCTTTGAACCCTTGTGTCATAATGTGTGTATGCTATACTCAAGGCTTGTGATTCATAACATTTCTAGACACTATGTTAAATGCAAGTGAAAACGTCATTTCTTTTTGTGAACTGCTGCTTAGGATTCACTTGCTGTTTTACAGTGCCCATACCCATATTATATCATGCAAAAGAACACAAATGCTATAGAATAATATGAAAATATGACACTAACTAATTAACTCCATGGAGCTGAGACATTCTTGAGAAGCAGCTAATTGTGCAGCTGTTCAAGAACTTCCCAACATTTTATGGAACCCAAAGGTTCATTACCATGTTCACTAGAGCCCTCTACTAGTCTCTATCCTGAGCCAGATTGATCCAGTCCTTACCACCCCATCCTGTCTCCCTGAGTTTCATTTAATATTGTTCACCCACCTGTGTCTTGGTCTTTCCTATGGGCTTTCCCACAAATTTCCTATATGCATTCCTCTTNCGATCCAGTCCTTACCACCCCATCCTGTCTCCCTGAGATCCATTTAATATTGTTCACCCACCTGTGTCTTGGTCTTCCCAGTGGTCTCTTTCCTATGGGCTTTCCCACAAATTTCCTATATGCATTCCTCTTCTCCCCATTCATGCTACATGCCCTGCCCATCCCAGCCTGCTTTACATGATTATTCTAATTATATTTGATGAAGGGTATAAGTTATGAAGCTCCTTATGCAGTTTTCTCCAACCTCCCGTCACGTCCTCTCTCTTCAATCCAAATATTCTCCTCAGCAGTCTGTTCTCAAACACACTCAGTCAATGTTCCTCCCTTAATGTCAGAGACCAAGTTTCACACCGATACAGAATCTCAGGCAAAATTATAGTTTTGTATATTCTAATTTTTATGTTTTTAGGCAGCAGACAAAAAGACATAAGGTTGTGAACTGAATGGTAGCAAGCATTACCCAGATTCATTCTCCTCTTAATTTCCTCATGAATCAGGTTTTGAGTTGTTATAGTCATTCCCAAATATCTGGTCTGTGCCACATTTTCAAAACATCTGTTAACTATCTTTATGTCAGAATTTTGCCCTGCATTCCAGTGACAAGACAGAAACATATACCAGAAGCTAGTCCTCTTCATGAACATTACTGTGAGAACCTCAAGTCCTACAGTTAAATTACAGATATACAGAGCATCTTGGAGCAAACTTTACTGTAATGGTACCAAGAAATGAAATGGTATCTTACCCAATCTTGTTTTATCACAGTGTGTATGGTTTGTTGCAGGTGGTATGGAGAGCAATGCAAGAAGAGTTCATACAACAGTATAAATATATTGAAGAATTAATACAACGATGCTATCCGGGTTCAATGATTGTGCTAGATTTTTCTATCCAAAATATTTTGGAATTCTTTTCAGAAATAGCACTATCACATTAATTAAAGAACTTGAGGTCCTTTAAGTACATTTAGAAGACAATTATCAGTATATGTAAATATTATAATTGAAAAAGTAATAGTATTTACTTTCCATTATTTGCCCTTATGTGAAAATATATGGTAATCTAATTTTGATTTTTTAACTATGTCATATTTTTTGCACCTGTATTATCCAGTTACTGAAAGCATTCCTTTGCAGCCTTGACACATTCAACATAAAAAATTAAAAGAATTGTAGAATACACCCAAGACCAAAATCATATTCCTATTGGTCTGTTATTGTCATGAAATGGAAAAGAAAAATAATTTTGTTTGAGATTAGGTTGATATGTATTTTAAAAGCATAAGATAAGGTAAGTTTATACCTTTCCTTGGAGGCACCACACTGTGAAGTATATAGGAGGTGGAGTTAAAGGTCCATGCATTGTATGTAATACTCCTGAGGAAAGAACCCGCATTACCCATGCATAGGAGGTTGAGTAGGTCATAGAGCACGTCTGAATGTTGTAGCAAAGCATTGTTTCTGTACCTACCGGGAATTGAACCCTGATCATACAGCCTGTAACCGGTAACTTCACTGACTGTGCTATCCTGATATAAAATTTTTTAATCATTCCGTGAATGTCCCTAGTAATGTTTCACTGTAAAATGTCTACACAGCTCCCGTAATTTAGCTTTAAATAGAAGAAATAAAGAAGTCTGGCAGCATACTATTTCTCATTGTCAAAAATTACTTTCTCTGAGTCAGGTTATGGGCCAAAAATATGTATTACATCTTACAAACCGTTCTTTGTAGAATGAGGGACTCTTGACATTAACACTGAGCAGTAATATAGGGTACAGAAAGATCCATATTCATCTCTCAATCCATTATATCCCCATAGAACTCCTTTAGAATTCAGTTGTTACACATGTTAAATTTCCTTAGAGTTGGAAATGAGATGAACATACACAAGTATAAGACACTAATTTTAAAATATATGCAACAGAGAGAATAACTTGAACTGCATGTACTATACGAGTACATCAGTATTTGCTACATAAATATGATCAATACGAGGGTTGCCCGGAAAGTATTGCAACAATTTTTTTTCTCATTCACAATTCATTTTATTAAAACTTCAAATGTGTCACAATTCTACCTGAATCTTTGGCTGCCTAAATATATTTTTCAACCTAATCTCCTTCTACATCTATGGCCTTATGCCACCAAGATGCAAGAGTCTGTATGCCTTCATGGTATCTTTCTGCAGATCTCTATCACGGCCAGGGCTTTACTTCAGAAGTGACTTCCTCCACCACCACCACCAAAGATCAGGTAGCAATGTGACATATTTGAAGTTTAATAAAGTAAACTGTGAATGAGAAAAAAAATTGTTGCATTACTTTCTGGGCAACCCTTTTATATCATGTAAGAAAACTTAAATGTACATGAACCTGTGCTCATCATGTATCTTCCCATTCTCCCTCTTATATCACTAGAATTTCTTAAGACTAGATATCCTGAGTGCTACAGTTTTCTTCTCTAGCCTTATGTTTCCCAGGAGTTTATGTTTAATAAGGATTCCCAAAGCTGTACACATTTATTCACAGGCACTCCCATATCCTTGAAATCCTTTTAAAGCAAGGCTAAATATAAAGTTGTCCCTGTGCTTAATCAGTTAAGCACTATGCCATGAAGGTGTATGGGGCAATGGTTGTATAGATCCACATATTCTTGTGCTCGGCACTAGTTGGAGGTGAGTGGTCAACTTCACACCCTGGTCACTTTACTCCCAGGGAAAGAGCCCCAGTACCCATTGGATAGGAGGTTGGGTGGACCCCACATCTGGATGACATGGAGAAGTGGACTCGAACTCCAACCCCTCAGTCGTCCAGCCTGTAGCCAGTCACTATACTGATTACACTATCCCAACTCCCCTAAAGTAAGGGTACCCACACTAAATATGTTTTCTGTGGCACTCCTGTTAAATTTGAGCATATTTCTTTTAGTCTGTCAAAAAGTTCCACTCAGGAGGTTCTGCCATTTGTAGGAGGATCTCCATACATGGTTAATATGATACTGTGAAATGTATGTTCCAACTAATGAACGTTTATTCACTTATGTAGCAATATTTTAAGATCCATTCATTTTTGGTCTGTGATCAGCTTGGCAGAAATTTACATTTATGTTGCAGAGATCAGAATAAGATGTGATATGGTTTGTTGGAATTAAATGTTCGAACATAACTATTTCATTGATAAGGTTCCTTGTCACTTCCTGGACCTGAAGGAATTGATGGATATTAAGATTAATATTTGACACTGGAGTATGGTAAGTAGATGCCAGCAGTTGGAGGAATATGCTACATTTACTTTCTGGATGAAAGGATGCAGCTAGCAGGTTACTCCAAAATGTTGGTACCTACCTACCATACTACATGGTGTCACATCCCAGAAGACCCAAACATTTATGCAGTAACGGTCCACAACATGGCATCTGATTCAGCTCATGATTCCAGATTTGTAATGTGTAAATCATTTTGAAGCAAGGTTTCGGTCTTTCTTCTGTGCCACCATAGTTACAATACTCTTGGTCTGGTTTATTCCATTTGTTTTCCCTGTAAACCCAAAGAGAATGTGGTAACACATTAATTTCACCAGATAACAGCAAGTGACAGTTTCCTTAACACCAAATATAAATGTATATGCACACTAACAAAAGCAATATTAGAGTATGTATACATATATAAGGCAAAGGTATTTGGGGATGCTGCAAAACTGAATCCCCCCCCCCAAATCTCGAGATCAGGTCTTTTCACAATCACAATACTTTCTCCTACTACATATATCAGAAAGTATAAAACAAAAGGAAGGGCTATAACTCTAGGGCAGGGCACGCCTGATCAATGCCAGTTAAGCTCTAGCTGCAGCGGCCTGGCCTCTTAAGTCACAGAGGCCATCCCACAAGGACAAGACAGTAGCAATCAAACTGAATTTAAGGTCTGGGGCTCGACAGACCAACTGACCGTCAGTCACAATGGTACTTTCTGACTTGCTAGTCAGTGTGTTGGAGCTAATCCTATCTCGAGATAGCTAATACAAGTATGAAGCTCGCACAGCAACAGTGAGTCTCCTAGCAGTAACACTATTAGACTGTGAGAGCGGTTGCCTAGACTCATTGGGAAGTCCACTGCCAGCACTTAACCGCCCTATAGATGGCTTGCGATCACCTGGCTGCCGAACAAGGAGGGCACAATCCAGCCCACTGCAGCCGGAGTTTCGTCGGCATTCATGGGACACGCCCTGTCTTAGAGTTAACTCATTCTCAGGGTCCTACAATAACTCGGTTACCGCACAATCTGCTATCCTGCTCCTCTGTATGCCCTTCTTCTAATAGCAATAAATATCGGTTACAGAAATTTGCGTGGTTGTCTCTCAGAGTACCAGAACTGACATTCTACATTTGTGACCCCGATGTGATGAAAAGGCAGTTTATGTCCACTGCGTTAGTTTCCTTGCAGGCGTTTGGCGCAGGAATAATACACTTTTGCGCCCTGGCTCCATAGCGTCGATGGTACCAGCAGTGTGTAAATGTAGCATCATCTCGTCAGTAGATGTTCTGCCCAAGCATCAGTTCCTGAAGCTGAAATGACCGGAATGAACGCTGTGCCGGGCGGCGCTGAGTGCTGCCACCTGGCGGGAGAGGTCCTCGATACGCTGCAGAAGTGCAGTGCTATCGGGGAGTGAGACAACACCCGCTTGCGCCAGCTGGGGAGGAGCGTCGGAGGCGTCGGAGATGCGGTTCGCATAGCGGGCTGCTGTTGCAGTGGAAGTATTCTGACACGTCTGGGGCGAGGCTCCTGAGCTGCCTCAGGAACTGGGACGGCTTGCGGTCACCCATCTTCTCGAGCGTAAGGAGCTGGCGGATGCGTTGCTCTCTTCAGGGGGGCAGCCACCTCACGAGCTTGATCCTCAGCGTAGTGTAGGGGTCTCGTTCTGGCTTAGAGGTGATGATGTCTTCTGCCTCCGTGACGTACCGGTGGTCCAGCCGCGAGATTACGTAGAAGAATTTGCTCCTCTTGCTGCTGATACCGGCCAAGGTAAACTGTGCTCTGCTTGGACGAACTACACGGCTGGCCACTCGGCCCAGAACGGCGGAAGCCGCACTGCCACTCTGAATATCATCGCTGGCGGTGGACTTCCCAGTGGGTCTAGGCGACCGCTCTCGGAGTTGGCTGACGGTGTAGCTACATGGAGACTCGCTGTTGCTAGCGGCCCAGTGGGAGTTTCCGTTGCCGTGTTCCGCGCCGTCCGTGCCGGTCCGTGCTGAATGTGGCTAGCGCCTGCTTCGCTCTGCCAGCCTACCAGAAGTTGGTAGCTAGTCTGGAGATGCATTGTGGTAGGCTCCCACAACCAATTACAGAAAACACGGGTTTGTAACCTAAGGAAGAGTAGGATATTTGTTCGGGTTTCTTTTGAGCAGCACATCAAATTGTGATGAGCTTAAAGTGTACAAATTCAAAGTACCTCTTGGATTCCCTGCATTATCGAACGCAATATTTTTTTTTGCATGCTCCGTTTCTTACTTCTAAGACCAGGGAAAAAGTGGAACTCAAGTAATTGCTTCCAACGTCTCATATCCTGACTACATCCATGGAACGCAGTGCGACACTTAATTTAGTTTCATAAGCCATGACCGAGGAAACAATACATTGCTTTGTTGCGTAGTACTAGAGTTAAAGACTCCTTTGCTTCTGTAACCACAAAATTATAAATTTCAACCTGAAAATATTATTCAATTAATTAAAACGTTTTAGTGTTTATATAAAAGGGATAATAACATTACAACAGTGTCGATGCATTTCGTAGAAAGCGCCCATATCACTGTCAAAACTTTTCGGCTTGACCAATAAGATCCCATTGTATGAGGAGAATATAATCGTTGGTTCACGTGTAAGAGAGAGCCATTTGATTGGCTGTTATTTCTATTTGGTGAAAAATGGCGGTTTGAAACAATTGTGATAGTGGATGTGAGTTTAAAAAGAATATGAATGGCGAAGTCTTCTGTCTACACAAGCAGTAATTAATTCGTAAAGAGCCTAATAAGGATTTGCAGGTAAGAGACGAATATAATTTGCATATTGTTTTGGAAGAGACTGTG